GCGGCTGCTGTGGCTGCGGGGTCGAGGCTGCCTGCGCCACGTAAGCCTGGGCCTCTTCTCGCTTGTGTACGAGGCGCCCTTCGACGCCCAAACCAGCCTCTACCAGGCCCGCTGCCGCTACCTGCAGCCCCGCTGGACCGACTTCCCGGGTCGGATCCTGGACGTGGGCTTCGTGGGCCGCTGGTGGGTTCTGGGGGCCCGGATGCGCGACTGCGACATCAACGACGACGAGTTCGTCTACCTGCCGGTACATCTGCGCGTCGTCGGGCCGCATCAGCTGCACTCGGAGGCCAATGAGCGGCTCTTCGACGAGAAATACAAGCCTGTGGTGCTCACCGACGATCAGGTGGACCAGGCGCTGTGGGAGGAGCAGATGTTACAGAAGGAGAAGAAGGACCAGCTCGCCCTGAGCCAGGCCGACTCGATGCTGAAATCAGAGGTCGCGAGATGAAACCTGGTGGGGAACGGCTCTGAGACCCGACAGAATGTTCGCCTGGGATTGTGCAATTGGTGTGAGCGAGCCTCAGATGCAGAGTGATTGACATAAATTATGTGTGGAGTTCTCTCCCTGGGTTTTCACAGAGTTGGGGGCCTCCCTCTCATCTATTCCTTGTAAGCCAACCGCTAATGCAGCGCCTCCTTGGTCTAGGAGTTGGGGAAAGCAGAGCGATATGCCCTGTAATGTTTATCACTGCCAGAGCTGGTAATGAGCCTTCTGCGTAAATAAGCCTTCCTCTCTGGGCTTCACGGTTTCCAACTGAGGTATCACAGTTACTGGGTGATTTCCAAGCTCTCCTAAGAACTTGAAATGTTGATCCTCTATTTCCACGAGTAACATCTTTTAAAATGTTGGAATAATTGTAGTTGCAGAAACTGGAAGAATAATAGAGGCATGCTGGTAGCCTTCACCCAGCTTCCCCCAAATGGTAATGGTCTATATAAGCAATACAAACCAGGAGATTGACAATTGTATGACTGGATTTTACAGGAAAGTTTTTTGCAAAAACAACCTGCTTTTTACCATATGTGTATTGATAGTGATGTTAAAGTGACTTGGAGGGATAAAGCATTTTCTGACCTAGAAATCAGTATGAAATCTTAGCTTCTGGTGATGTTATACTTCAGTAACCCTGAAAATACACAATCCCATGGAAAGGAATATGTTGGTGTACATAGCTGGGTTATAGAAGTCATATTTTTAAAACTAAAGTATTAGAGGAATGAGGCTACCTCTGTCACCTAGGTGGCCTGTGGCTAGCTAATAAACCAGGAGTTGAAACAACCATCTTTGTTGTGACGTTATGGTTATCTGTTTCGCTCTGAAGTTTTGGTACTTGGACCTTCCATTCATACTGTGGGGTGAGTTAGACACATGGTAATTTTTATATCCTTATTTTGGGGGCAGGGGAACATTTTATGTTAGTATCTCCATTTTACAAAGGAAAAAGGGAAAATACATTATTTTTCCAAAGCTGCAGCAGGATCATGATTCAAACTGTAATTCCCAACGCTGTGACTTAATCCTGAAACTCATCTATCAAAGTACTCTCTTTGACCCTAACAACATCCTGGCAGAAATTAAATACTGCTATCACTGGCCACAAATAAGACATACATATATACATACATACATACATACATACATATATAATGCAATGAAAACAAACTGATAGTAAATTATGGTCCTATACTGTTACCTGCTGAAGGCTCTGGACCTAAATCTCTGTTCAAGAGAGATTAACCAACTGCAGGGAAAGGTTTATGAGGCACTGGCATCACAATGAGACTTGTTCCTCACCGTGATCAGAAGTATTAAAAGTGAACTGCACATTGTCATTGAGTCAGTTATTAAGTACCACTTCTGACTTGCAGCTGGGGGGTGGTGTGTGTGTGTGTGTGCGTGCACGCAAGCACACACGCACACACACACACACACACACACACACACACACACACACACACACACACAACGAAGAATATATACAACGTAACTAAAAAGAATAAGTAAATAACTACTATTAGACAACGACTAACGGTTAGG